TGGCTTGCAGTTTGGGCACTCGGTCTCTAAAAGGTTGGCTATCACTGGTATAGGGTCTCCTGCTTCAACAGGGGGTTGGACTAGAAGACCTCCCAAGATCCCTTCCAACTCTGTTATTCTGTTATTTCAGAATGAAGAATTTCGAGAATTTGCAACACCAGTTTCAAAGAAGACTTCTGCCTGCAGAAGGGAAAAAGATAAACTTTGATAAAGCCTGAATCCATTCCCCAAGTGTTTATTGTTGGGTATGGATTTGAAATAAATATTTCCTAGCCCACAGTGTTACTAATTCTTTGAAAGTATAGCCAGAGCAATAACACTAGTAGTCAAAGGCCTCAATTCACTCACAGCAAACCATACCTATGTATGGATCCTATAGGCTTTTATTGAAATTCCATGGGACAACGTAAATTTGCAATATTGAAATATTTTCAGATGAGATCTGGTAACATCTCAGAAGTGATATTGTTGAAATATAAAATTAGGAAATCTTACGAGATGTAAATCATTACTTTTTTAATACAATCACACCACTGTGCATAAATATTTGATGACACTTGCTACCTAAAAAGATAGCTGTCCTTAAATGCAATTACGTCAGCAGATAAATAACTTCATTTATATTAGAGCTAAAGTGATTTTTCTTTTGTTGTTTCCAATCATTGGACCCCTTCATTGTTTTCACGTGGGCTTAATTTTCACAGATCAATGTCTGCTCCCTCTATCATTTAAGAATTATGTTTTCTGAAGATTATTTTTTAAAAATTCATGTCAGACTTAGCCTACAATACTTCTAAAATATGACCAGCAGTATGAAAGAATGAGCAGCAATTGTATTTACATTTGATGGTATATGTCAGATATTTGGATTCTTTAGGTAGTTAACACAATAAGAGAAAAATCATGGTATAATTGCTTGTGAAACCATTTTCACATGATAAAAACATACAACAGGCTGTCATATATACTTCCAAATGCTCACCCATCTTTTCAATTTGCTATTATATGAAAAATTTTACTGACCCACTTATTTATCTGCATAGCACAATGTTATTTATGTCAGAAACAAAAAGCGCATATGAGTCAGGATAACCCAGGTTTCCCTTTCTGTTTATCTATATTTTAAGTGAGTTTTTTGCAGCTGCATAATATCAAAGCGTACTAGAACATCAGTTCACAATTCCACAATCATTGTTTTGGAAGTATTGACACCCAGTTTTCTTCCCCAAAATGATTGAATCTGCATCTCTTTGGTTTATCTTTTCTCCTTTTTATATTAGATAAGCTACCCCTCCCAAGCACTGCCTGTATCAGAATCTTCAGCTGTGATCCATCACATATGGCAGAATCATTATGTATAATCTAACAGAATTTTTTTTTAAAAAAAATAGATAAACAAAATATAAAGAATCCCATCCAGAGTTAGAGTTGAGCTGGATTCAAAGAAAAGATAGTCCTACATAATTTTCTCAAACAACAATTTTATTTCTACTATTGTGTTGTATTGAGTTCACTTTAATTGAAAGAAAATGTTTGAGAACTGACAAGAACGTACTGTAACAAGATACTTATTTGCAGCATGTAAGGGGAAAGAAGAGCAAAGCCAGGCATAGAATTTTATTCCTTCATAATATGTTCTAGTTATAGCCAGAGATGATAGAGGGCAAAATTTCTCTTGTGAGAAAAAGTTGACACTTAGTCTATATGTCTTTTGCAACTATTCTCAAAATATACCAGTTAGCATACCATGTGAGATACCTTTCATATACTTTCTTGTGTCGGATATCTCAGACTTAACCTAACCTTCCAAAAACCTGCTTATTTGATGCCTCTTGAATTTCTATACAGAAAATAGCAATAAAGCTTGAAAGACATGTAGTGTTATGCATCTGAAAACATAGGGTAACGAACTTTAGAAAAACACTGAAGCTGCATATGTCTGTGAATCAGTTCAATAACATCTTAGTTTTTATAACAACAGCTAGACACTGAGAACAAAGAAGGTTTTATTTAATTATGCTGTTTTCAGAATAGCTCTCTAGCTCAAAACCTATCACAGAAGTAATTTGAAAAATGGCACTTCATTTGACTTCCATGGCCCTCTCATGCCAAAAGCAACAAGCAACACTACTCAAAACTTCCATAGAGTTGGATTATTGCCCAATGAGTATACAAGGCTGATATACACCATGCCCCTTTCTAATTGGCTTCCCAATTCAAGAGATCCATGCTGGCATGAGGCATGTCCTGCTGACACAAAGTATGAAGGAGCCAAGCTTTCAAAATACCAGCCCTGGTACTGAATAGCTTTAAAACCTACAATCTTACAGCTGTTTATGAACTTGTTTGGTACTGAGCTATAATCATTTTGCTTATTCCTAACCCTCAAGTTTTATTAAATTTATCCTGAATGAAACGGGTATCTAAAACCAATTGCCCACACTCATTACCAATGGCCCAGACTTGTGGGAGTTTCAGGAACCAAAGGGTCTACTAGCAGATGCAACATTGATTTCTGTATGTTCACAATTTACCAGACTGTTCCATAGTAGACTTGATTTGATGGCTCTCCATGGGGTGCCCTGCAGACTTGATTATTTCACAGCCAAGCTGGCTACCATGGTTTGTGACAAATGCACAAGGAACAATATTAAACCTTGATATATACACCATAGCCAGCAAAATTAAAAATAAAAGTATCACTTTAATGGCATATTATTTGATCTTTCCTATGATACTCAATACTTCTCTGTTCTTATACAATTTATAATTCTCTAAGCTTCTACTTCTGATAGATATTGGATCAATACTTCAGATTGGTATTGGACTGAAACATGAATGTGTGGGAATCACATTTATCAGTATGCAATAAATTGCTTGAGATTCCTTGGACCATATACTAAACTTAAAGGAGAATCTGCAAAATGCAGACTCAACCCCAATTAATAAGTGATAAGCGCAGCTGTTCTTTTGTTTGTAGGTATTTCATATCACTTCTAGGCCTTTTCTGTGCTTCAGAGAAGGGATGGGCAAGTAACATTAAAATATTCTGATAAAGTATAATCACAAGAGTCACTTGACAGCAGTAAAAGTTATTTTTCCGGATTCATATGCTATTTTGGGAATTGAGATCAATTATTACGTATGATTAAAAATATAAGAAATCTGATAAAGTAACTATATTGTGAACTATAATTGGGTCAAGAAATGTAATAAGCATGTGCCTGTTTAAATAATTTAAAAAATATAAAATTGATCATTAATAACATTTAATAAATTACCATGCTGTGAAATAATATAGATGGCTCATGTTTTATATTCATCAATATAAAATATATATCATATGTAATAATCAGAAAAAGAAAAAGTGTTCTCTATTAAACAAAATAGCTATTTAATTACATGCTGTTTTAGGTAAAAATATAAGAATAGTAAATTTCATAAAAGAGATGACCAATTTACCATAAAACTATGAAGTTACAGTATAAATAACTTTGGTGGACAATCTGGTCCTTTCTGCAACACAGGGAGTATACTTGACCAGTAAATTCAAACACAAAGGAAGTGCTATAGCTGGCAAGAAGCAAATTTCCTTGCATTCTGTTTCAGCTTAATACTAACACTAAATAAACATCTTCTTTCACTACTCAAACTACAAAATTAAGATGAGCATAAAGTACTGTTTTTGCAGGATAAGAAAATCAATTCTGTTTTTATTTTAAACTACTTATTCTTTTTCTTTGTGTTAGCTTGGTAATACTCCTCACTTTTTCCCCCAGTGGAAACAAATGGCTTCTGTCACAATCGTACTTTTTCTTTGTTTTTCTTCAGTCATCTTTGTTTTCCATTATAAACACAGTAAACTCATTATAAATATATAACAAGACATAGCCATAAGCATAAGGTAATTTAACTATATCACAACAGCCAAGTTCAGATCTAGCATTCAAACTTACAGTGAACAAAAGTAAGCTGTGATAATAAGGTTTAACTGCTTCCTTCAAAAATTCTTTACCTAGGTTATGTATTTTATTTGGGTGCATGCTTAGTTCTTACATTTGTAATTCATAAAGGTATTCTCGCTACATAAATTTAAAAAGTCAAAAATTGTGCCATCTTGAAAAACATATTTACCCTGAAAAATAGGTAAGAAATATTTTTATTAAATATTAAGGCAAAATATCTCAATACAAAACTTGTAATATACAAGGAATTAAGGAAATACAATTAAATTATAATCAACACTTAAATTACAACTTCACAATATGATTTGTCTGGCTTTAAAAAAACTAGTTAAATTAAAAAGCTCTATTTAAAGAGTAGAAGCATTATGATAGGGTAAAACTATTCCTAGTTTACAAAGATAAAAAAGACATATTCTGATAAAAATTCAAATATCCCTACAGGATTATATAATAAACAAGTAAGTCAATTACTGACTTATTAGAAGGCTTCATCATTGCAGAGAAAGTCTTGGAGGGAGGGAAAGAATAAATTTTAGTGCCTAGATTTAAATGGGTTTGATTTTGCACTGCTGTTCTTCTTTTTCTATAGAGTATCTTTCAGCAATATAAAAATAATACTTTGCCCATTGCTAGCCATTATATCAGTGACTTGTTAAAATTTTCTAAGTCACTAAAATACAATTTCATTTGTATATTAAATATGTACATACATGAAGTATGCCTCCAAAATTCTACTTTCTAAGCTTTCTCAGTAAAATAACATTAGATTTTAAGAAAAATGTTAACCAAATGTTCTACAATTGGTACTGTATATATCAGAAAAGAGTGTACTGAACTCTTTGTTTGACCTAGGAAAAGAATCTGAATTCTCTCAACATTTCAGACTGCGTGTATCTGAAGAAAGCCAAGTAAAATGTCTTTAGAAAAAGTAAAAATATGTAATTATTTTGTCTCGTGAAACAATTCAAGTTTCTTACACTTTCTAAACAGAAATATCATATCAAGAACAGTGAAGGGGAAAAGGCATATACTTACCTGAATGGACTATCAGTTGGAAAGCTGAAGAATTGTAAAACAAAGTAGTCCAAATGATTTGTGTATGCACACAGTCCAACTCTGTACTTTCAAGTAGGCCAGACAATCAAACAATCATTTCAGCATCAGCCAGCCTGCTTTCCATCTTAAGGGATTCACCCAGAAAAGTAAGAAATCTGCTTCACGATAAACAGCAAAAATCCTTGCAATGCTTCCAAATGCCCACCATTTGTTCACCATTCAACCAGTGAACTTTTTCAAATGCACCTCTTCTCTTAGTACATTTCCAAGGTATAAGAGATGGAAATTGCTTCTTATCGGTATGCTAATTATTTTGCCACAAAGAGAAAGGTCAAAATGTTTTCAGACAGGAACAATGGACCTGAAGTTGAAAGCAAGAAATAAAAGCAAGTTGACACTATCAAATGATGGGGGAATAGGTGCATGAGTGCAGCATTCTGCTTGCTACATCAGCAGTAGCCTCCATTTGAAAGCACCAGCAGCAGCAAGGCAGCCAGTGGGCTACAGAATAGCCTAGCTGGGTAGTATATGCATAGAGCACAGGTTCCCTTAGAGACCACATTACTGCAGCAGAATAACATCAGTAGCATAGTGCTGAGTTTCCCTGTCTCATTTAAGATTCCTTCATAGTGTATTCAATTCTTTCCTAAATCGTACACAAACTCCTTAACTACCTTTGACTTAGATAGATTCCTTCCTCCTCCCCCCACCCTTTCTACATTATAACAATAATTTTGAGATATTCTGTTTACTAGTCTTGCAGTAGTCAGGCAAGATTGAAGATACACACTATATGCTGTCTACATTGTACCCAAAGGCCCCTAAATCTCTGGAGGGGCAGAATGTGTATCATGTGCAATGCTGTATTTAATGTAATAGATGGGAACCATAAAATACCACTCAGGCTATTACTAGTAGATGGTGTTTTCTTTTAAACTGAAGTCTATTTTATGACTGGTGACATGGAATAGCCTGCTCTTACTAAAAAGAAATACCAGGAAATATAGCAAATTCACTACAATTTTGACCAATTTATTTTGAGAAAAATTTAAAAACAGTCAGAATATGACAAATTTAAAGTTACCTTCAAGTATGCCTAACTCATTAGGGTCACTGCCTGATTATATACACCTTTAAAAAGAGAGAAAAATCAATTTTGGGCTAAGAAAAAAATGTTTGCATATCTGAAGAAAGAGAACAGTAATAATCTGGATCTAGCATAACTTTATTAAATGAACTTTTTAACAAACCAAAACAAACAAAATGTCAGTTCAGTTATTATGCAAAAGTGTTTTAGAACACTTGTTAGCAGCTTTTCCCAATGTTTGGCAAAAATGCACCCACATACATATATACCGTATATAAAATTTCTGCTACACTTTCTTTCTGAATCTGGTGAAGAACTGTTTTGAATAGTTTTCTGTCATGTGCCTCTAAATTAAACCACCTCAAACATACAACCTACATCTTGCAAACCACTTCTGAATTATATTTACTATTAGCAAATAATTTTGCTTAAAGCCTAAGAATTGTCTGCTGCAATAGTATACAGTGAGTTGTGAGAATGTGACCCTATGCTGAAAAGATCAACATCTCAGGCCAGTCCCTTCTCTTCGGAAAAAGGAAAAAAAGCACACATCTAAGACAACTTTTCTACGTTTGAATTCAAAATCTCTTTCATATTTCAATCAAAAACAATGAACTAAAACCAACTTCAGGAATCTTAACACAAAACACTGAAAAACTGTAGGAAGGTTAAGAACTAGCACCTCACATGAATGTTAAATCTTTGATAAACTTTTTCCAGTATTATTTGTTTTTATTTATAAGGCTTATGTAAGTATTGGCAATCACATTCTTCCCCCCCCCTTGAACAGAGCTACTAAATAAAAATATTTCTTTCTTGGGCAATCTTATTTTCCTGGGGGTGGGGGGGAGTTACCTTAATTTCACCTCAGTCTTTGCATAAACAATATTACTGTCTCTCACCTAAGAGCACCCAAACCAACTCACCCTCATGTCCTCCCTCACACACAGCCACAGCACCCTCACCAGTTGGGTTTTCACGCAGTAAACAGAAGTCCTCACTCACTCTCCTTCCCAAATACCCATCTTTCCTCACAGCCTTCCCTCACGTACAATCCCACCCCCCACCACACACACACATTTCCCCTCAAATGCAGCCTTTCCTCACAGCACACCCAGCCCAACCTCCCCTTCCTCTCAGACAACCACAACTCTTCCGCCCCCTCTCTGACACCATTCTCTCTCTCCCCCTCACAATTCGGTCTCCCGCGGCAGCTGAAACACGCACCAGCTGTCTTTTTCAGGCGAGCAGAGCTCTAGAACACCCAACGCCCTGCCGAGCTCGCAACACCTTTATCGCCTCACCTAGATAAGATCCACACCGCCTCCCCCCCCCGCAGCATACCCGAATCTCTCCTCTGCTTGACTCCCCAACCCAATTTCTCTCCCTCCACGAGCCGCGCGCGCGCCCTCCCCCTCCTGCTTCTCCCTCCGTCCAACACACACACACACACACACGCCGCCGGCGTTGTCGAACTGCAGCCTTTGCAAAAAAAGAGAATACTGACCGCTCTTGCAACGGCGGAGGTGACTAAGATGACCCCCGCGCGGGAAGTCACCCGGCGCACACCTCCTCCTTCCAGCCTGCCCAAGTAATTCCCCCTTTCGCGGCTGCTTGGCGCGCTGGGAGAAGACCGAAGCAGACGCCGCGGCCGAGGCGATCGAGAGTTACTGGCAATTCCCTTCCCAGCTCGCACTGCAGTCTGAGGGGAAGGAAAAGCCTTACTGGAGCCCAGCCCGCCCTTCGCTTTCCTCCTGGGCTCTCCCGACAGCTCCTCAGACAGCTTCTCTGCTGAAGGCAAACTTTGCTAACAAACCCTGCCAACCCTCTTTCTCGCTCTCACTCTCTGTGCCTCTGTGTGTGTGTGTGTGTGTGTGTGTGTGTGTGTGTGTGTGTGATTGCGTGCGGCTCAAAAAAGCGGCAATAGAAGCATCTCTCTCTCTCTCTCTCTCTCTCTCTGGACTTGAACAGGTTAAAGGCAGGACACCGAAGTGTTTTCCCAAGAAGCAAAAAGGATTTCATCCCTCCCTTCCCCTCGTCTGCCCCCTTCGCCCCCCCTCTCTCACACACAGACACACACACCTGCATTTCTTTCACCTCCCCCACTTCTGACAACATCCTCGGATCCTCTCGGGGCTTCCTTTATTACGCCAAAAAGCTAAAGTAGTCTGGCTGGAGAGACAGCCCTTATTTAGGAAAAGGGTTGAAGGAGGCGGCTTGTTTTTAATGAGAGAATTCTGATCTAAAGAGGATAGAGAGCCCAGTTCTCAGGCATGCTTGCTCAAAAACAGCACTGAGGTCCTTTGATTATGCTCCTAAAAATAAATATATATCAACTATATTTGGAGGCAATCAGGGTCATCAGATTAAATGGAGTTTTTAAATAAATACATTTAGAATCTTAGATTCTGGGATAAAAAGATATTGTTAAGTATAATATGAAGCAAATTGTTAACTGTTCAGATAAAATCTCAAGTTTAATAGCGGAAGAGCAATTTCCTGTGTTGACTAAAATTAGGAATCTTGGGATTCGCACTTCTAGCTGGGAATCACACTTCCTGTGACCTAGAATCTAATCCCATATTGCAGGTGATTTCAGGTACAGAAAGCAAGGCATTCTGCACTGGCAGGGATACTAAGCCCCACTACTTAAGGCTAGTTCAAAGGTCACATTCCTGATATCATCCTAGAGGACTCTAAAAGTAAATAATACAGGTGAGATCTACAAGATGAGACTAAAGTACTTACCTAGAAGTAAGACCTATTGAATTCTGTAGGGTTTAGTTTTGAGCAGTCAACTGATATAAATTGAATTGCAGCTTGCAGATAGCAACTTAGTCTTTGTGAGATAAATTATGTGATTTCTTGTCCAAATCTACAATTTAAACAATGGGAAGAGGGGAGATAACAATAGTAGTTTAAAGGCATCTGATTCAGAAGTTTGAGATCAGTTCTATTTTTCTTTTTTTTTCTGAAATGCTGATAATGATAATTTAAAATAGCATAAAGGCATTAAAACCCTGTTTTGTATATACATTCTTATACTATTTTATTTTTATAAAATAAGATTAGGAACTTGGTGCCAAAATTATAACTTTCCCACTTCTTCAGAACTGATAAATGCTATCCTGAAAGCATGAAAACCTTTACTTTTCTTTTAATGAACACCACACTAAATAAGTATTCAGGAGCATTTTCAAAATAATATTTTGCTACATAATTGTCCCATCACTAAACATTGCAATGGATGGCCTTTGTTATTTGGGATACAATAGGATTGGTATAAGAAACATGTAAGTAATTATGAGCATTTTTCCTCTGGTTTAATATAAAATTCATTTTACTTGTAAGTAAAATTTACTTGAAAGGGAAATTAGTTCTCCTCTTGAGTAAATGGTTTTGAAATTCACTGGTGGTATTCAGAAATATGGAGGGGGGAGGTTTGGCTTCAATTGAGATAGAATAGTGATCCCTAAATAATTGTTACAGAATTGTAACCAGCCACAAATAAATCCCTTAAGAAAAAACTGCATATGCAATAATCCTAGATATAGCTTGGACATCTTTTACCTTTTCTTCAGATACCTTTTTGCATTGGTCTCTGCTCTCCAATCTGTCAGAGAAAACATGGGGTGCACAGAAAGGAGATGAGGAGGGACACAAGTTTAAATTTGCAACTCTGATTGCCATGCAATGTAGGTAACAAAGTTTATTCTATTCAAGCCTATGGTTGAAAATATAGTATTTTCTTTATGCATGAGAGGGGTTGAATTAGAGGTACCCCAAAATTTCAGTTCAGAGTACAGACAGGATGCAAAGGTAAATCTGTATGGAAATGCCCAATTGTGAACAGCTTCCATTAAATACCAAATATTAGATATCAATTTCAAAAATATATTCTGTATGCTTTTCATTTATTTATTGATATATTGTACTCTCAATGCACACAACTATTCACAACCCGAGCAACATAATATGCTTAATACCACTGAGCAAATTTATCTATAAAACTACATTGTATTCTGGAGCAAATATACAATTTGCCTGGAGTTGAAGGAAAAATGCACAATTGCCTCCATAATTCTATTAAATTCAGAGAAAACTCCAAACATGATGGAGTTTAATCATGGCTTGAAATATTCAGTATAGTGGCACATTTCTTGAAGAACAGAAAGGATATTCAAAATAGGTTGGAAAAGTTACTGCACATGCGCAGTCACAGCATCTCATGATAAAGTAAAGCAGCAGTTTGGTTGATCATGCACGAATGTTCTCAAAGTATTGTATTTCAAACAGTGTTTCTGGAGATTTAGTTGGGGATATGAATGGAGCATTAACTCTGCATAATGAAAATCTAGACCCATTTCTGGAAACAAACATCTCTGCTAATATTTTGCTGGACTGTTGAAATGTTAATTTAAAACAATCTCTCAGGTTCAATCCATATGAATATGAATGTGGATTTATGACAGAGAGATCCTAGCAATGGGAGGAGGGAATCACATGTAAATGTGGTTAGAAGCCATCTATAAGAGCTCTGGCTGATAGAGAAACAAGGAGTTTTGAAGAGCTGAGTTATGCCAGCAACACTATTCATATATGAAGGAGAAAAAAAGAGTGTCAAGTTTGTTCAAAATGGGCTCTTCTGATGAAATGGAAAGCTATTGAAGGAAAATCAGAGAAATAACTGATCTTATCTTAAATTACCAGGATGAAAGAATAGGCAAATTCTACAATATTATCACCCCAATATTTTATAGGCTACATAAAAACAAAAGGGGGGGGGAAAGCAAGGATAAAAGTGA